TCCATGCCTGAGTGAAGCTTTCACCCTTCCCTTCACAAATATTATGGAGGGCACAGCACGTGGATATAACCGCGAGGATGTTGCTTTCGACCAAGTCCAGCTTCTCATACAGAGATCACCAGTAGGCCTTTAAACGGCCAAAGGCACACTCCACAGTCATTCAGCACCGGCTCAGCCTGTAGTTGAAGTGTTCTTTGCTGCTGTCAAGGCTCCCTGTGTAGGATTTCATGAGCCACGGCATTAACAGGTAAGCGGGATCTCCAAGGATCACAATGGGCATTTCAACTTCCTCTACCGTGATCTTCCGCTCTGGGAAAAAAGTCCCGGTCTGCATCTTCCTGAACAGCCAAGTGTTCCGAAAGATGCTTGCGTCATGCACCTTTCCGGGCCAGCCTGTGTTAATGTCAATGAAACGCCCACGGTGATCCACAAGCGCCTGGAGAACCATAGAGAAATACCCCTTCCGATTAACGTACTCGGATCTTAGGTGGGGTGGTGCCAGAATAAGAATGTGCGTCCCATCTATTGCCCCTCCACAGTTAGGGAAACCCATTTGTGCAAAGCCATTCACTATTTCCTGCACGTTACCCAGAGTCACGGTTCTTCTGAGTAGGATGCGATTAATGGCCTTGCAAACTTGCATCAACATGATTCCAACGGTCGACTTTCCCACTCCAAACTGGTGTGCGACCAACTGGTAGCTGTCTGGAGTTGCCAGCTTCCAGATTACAATAGCCACCCGCTTCTCCATGGCAGGGCAGCTCTCAATCTCGTGTCCTTGTGCCGCAGGGTGGGGGCAAGCTCCTCACACAGTCCCATGAAAGTGGCTTTTCTCATCCGAAAGTTCTGCAGCCACTGCTCGTCATCCCAGACTTCCATGACGATGTGATCCCACCAATTGGTGCTTGTTTCCCGAGCCCAAAAGCGGCATTCCATGGCGCTAAGCATGTCCGTGAATGCCACAAGCAATTTCGTGTCGTACGCGTTACGCGGCTCGATAGCATCGTTGGACTCCTCACTCTTACTGTCACTTTGGATCTTAAGGAATAGTTTGACAGCCAAACGTGACGTGCTGGCGACACTCGTCAGCATACACCTCAGCAGTTCGGACTCCATTTCCCGCAGACAGATCGCGCTGCACAGAAACCGTTGAAAGATGGCGCCAAAGGTGAGCGGAAACAAAGGGATTTCTAGGATGTGAAGCGATGCATCACAGGGCGTTGGGACAGGGCCCAGAATGCCCCGCACCCACGCCACAACCCACGGCGCCAGAATGGGAAAAGGTGCTCTGTGGGATAGCTGCCCATAATGCACCACTCCCAATAGCGCTGCAATTGCCGCAAATGTGGCCACGACAGTGTGCTGGCAGCTGTCAGTGTGGACAGACTGCAGCACTTTCCCTACTCAGCTGCACCTAGTCGGGTTTAACTCACAGCGCTGTACATCTGCAAGTGTAGCCAAGGCCTTAGTGGGTCACAACTGAGGATGCCAAATTCAGGACGAACTGCTGAGAAATAGAGCAAATACAACCGAAAACTGGTGGTTATTCTTTTATAAGATTTACCAAACCAGCCACAGAAGTAAACTCCTGGTTCACCACACTGGCTAACAAGAAAACATAAAGGCAGTTTCCTCAGACATTCCAGTTCTTATATTGCCACCAAAAACACTGGATTCAGAGATGAGTGGTTCTTTACAACAAGTCTCATCAAATAATAAGTTCTTTTGATCCCAAAGGACCAGCCACACACCCAGGTCAATATATAACTTGGATCTTACCCAAAAATCACGCTGGTGCCAATCCTTTAGTATCTAAAATCCAAAGATTTGTTTATATAAAAAAAGAAAGAAAGAAAGATGAGAGTTAAAATTGGTTAAAGGAATCAATTACATCCAGTAATGGCAAAGTTCTAGGTTCAGGCTTGTAGCAGTGATGGAATAAACTGCTGGCCTAAGTCAAGTCTCTGGAACACATCCACAGCTTGGATGGGTCATTCAGTCCTCTGTTCAGAGCTTCAGTTTGTAGCAAGGTTCCGCCAGAAGTAAGAAGCAGGACTGAAGACCAAATGGGGGAGAAGAAGATGCAGCTGCCTTTTATAGTCTTTGCCATGCGGCCTGTGCTTCCTTTGTTTCCAACACAAGCTGCCCAGCACATGGTTTGGAAGCCTTAGAGTTCTGTCCATAGGCAGGTCCCTGCAGGCCTTGCTGAGTCACAAGGTGTATCTACCTTCCCTCAATGGGTCTATTGTATAGCTGATGGTCCTCAATGGGCCATCAAGCAGGCTAGGCAGTGCTGATGCCAAACTGTCTGGGGGTGTCATAGCACAAGTTTGAAATACAGACATACATACATATCTATAACTCATAATGCAAAGGTGATATAAACATATAAACAAGATTATCATATCTGGGAAATCATAACATTTTTGCAGATATTTTACTTGGCATATCTGGCTGTGACCAATGTCTCAGTGTGGGCTAGCTATGATCACTCTGTTAGGGTGAACGGCAATGAATGGGGCAGATAATCCCCATAAAGCTGGTGGATATTCAAATGTTTACCTCACATACAAAAATGTTCCATGCATACAGATTGCATAATCATAACCAGCAAAACATAGCCTTGTCATAGACACCTCACTCGACAACCTTTGTAAAAGATTTGCTGCAACTATAGAACAGTGGTTGCAACAATGATCCATATGGTCATATTTTAATCAGATAATGTCACAGTCCTTCAAGAAAGAGATTTTGTGAGAAAAAGCTTAAGAAGAACAGTAGAGAAAGAGCGAGCCTGGAGCACTGGGCCTGGTGCAAGACCTGAGGCCTGAATCAGAGGCTGTGACCCAAAATCAGGCCAGGTATTAAAGCAGATGCTTACAAGTTCACTGCCCAGAACATTAACTTTGCAGAGTTGTCGCTAGCGTATTAAGCATTAGATATTTACGTAAATACATTTTAAGGCTAGCATTTCTACATCCTTGTCTAGCACAAGATAAGATGGTTTGTAAAAACAATGAACAGGGATGTTGTGTCCAAGATAACAGGAACAAGAAGAGGTAATAAAGAGATGTCATGAAACACGTCAGGTGGTACATAAGTTGTACATCCCAGTTGTTTCTCTCAGTCTATAAATATAGGGGTACCTCACCTTAATCCTTTGTGTGTCCTAGGGGACAGCAGAGCCTCCCGCTACTGACTGAGCCCCTCCTTGCCACTGAGCACTTATGTGTTAATATACCTGTAACCACAGAGCCAGGGCGCTAGGACTGTGTCTTGAGGGCAATACACCTGGCTGGGTGCCTTTGTCACCGAATGGGGCTTGTGGTCTTTCTTTATGAGTAACATCAAAGTCCACTGAATTAGGAGGCTGCCTGATCTACTGTTAGTACTGATAACTGGAGCTCCAAGGACAGAAGCACTGAGCATCCTGAACAGTGTTACTGGGACTATGATCTTCCACTGTCAATAGTTAACAACAGGAAGCTGCTGGAGTGAGCTTCACAATCATGAAGCTCCAAACCAACCAAAATTCTATCCCAGGCTAACAAACAGACCTATATAACAGCCACAAATTCCCAAATGGAGGAAAATTGAGGTGATGCCTGATTGGGGACAGAGAATAGAAAATAGGGGGTGTTTTTTGGGGTAGAGCTATGGGTACAGTGGTGACTGGAGGGTGGGGAGGTTCACAGGATGGAGGTTCAACAAAGGTACACCCTACAATGGAGCTCAGGGATTTTGGCCTTATCTACGACCCCCCTGCGCTTCCCCTTTTCCAGGGATGTTCCATGTGGCTCCAGTCCAAGCTGATGGCCATGGTACAGACAGCTCCATGTCTGGCCACTCGGTGGCATACGGGAGAGAGAGAAAGTGCCGTGGACGATGAGCCTCCTGATGGTTTAGCTGTGGCTGGAGCAGAGTCAAGGGTCCATGGCTGTGTCTGTGCTAGGCGATACGGCCCCTTACAGCCCCCTGCAGGGGAAGCCAAAGCAGGAATTGACTCATCTAGAGACCCTGCCACCTGGGCCTTGCTCCTGCCCCTCTGCAGTGAGGTTTCAGAGTAGTGTGGTGGGAGCAATGGGGATCACATGTGGGGCAGCTTCTCACAGCCCATTACCCCATGTCCAACCAGAGCTCAGCACAGAGCGCCTGGGATCTGATGCTAAGCATGGCCAGGCTGGCTTGGTACTTGGCTGGGAGACCAAGTGCTGCAGGGTAGGGGTTCAGCAGGGGGCACTCTCCCCCACCAGTCAGTGCTGACCCCAGTACCCCAGTGTGGCTCTAGGGGGCGCTGTGCTGCAGGGAGCAGAGTGAGGAGTTTGGGGGGGGAGGGGCACTGTGCTTCAGGGGGCATCACTCACCTGGCCTCCTCCATAGGTACCAGCTCAGGGTCCCTATTCCCAGGGCAGCGAGGATACAGACAGGAACAATCACCAGGACACCAGGCTAGCTTGCAGGCTGGGAATCTGGAAATGCCACGAAACAAACTGAGCCATGGGCCGGCCAAAGCCCTTGGCCTCTCACCCCCCCAGGGCCTGCCCCCCACCCACTACCTGCCTGATAGCTCTAGTCTAGTGCCTCCATCCCCCAGTTGGACTGTCCCTCCCAGCCACTCATCCCCCATATGTCTTCCCTACAGCTAGACAGCCCCCTCCCTGTGATCCCCTAGAGCCCCCTACTTTCCCCTCCCTCTCAGCCCCCCAGAACCCGCTCTCTAGTTTCCCCTTCCCTCTGACCCTCCCAGTATCTGCCTTCCCTTATCCTATGTGCCCCCTATAATCCTTCTCTACCTCCCCCTTTCTGAGTAACTCTCTCTGTCTCCCCATCCCCTGGTGCACCCTAAAACTGCCCCTCTGCACTTCCTCTTTCCCCCACCCCTTGTGTCCACCTTCCCCAGCCCACTTCCCTCACATTCCCAGTTTGTCCCCACTGCTCCCCCAGCTTTCCTCCCAGTACTCACCCCAGGTCACCCTCAGGGTGGCACCCCAAAGGCTAATATGTCTCACCACACACACATGCTCTGTGGGGCCGACCCCGTCCTGCCCCAGCTCAATGGACACCTGGATCTGGAAAGTGGGGTCTCCATTTGGTCGGATTCCTGTGGTCAAGCTGCTCCCCCTGGGCCACCTGGCCTCCCCGCTCCCAGGCCACCTCGATGTCACGGGGATAGAACCCCGTCACGTGGCAGATGAGGCGGCGCGGCCAGTCCTGGGTCCCTGGGAAGAGGGCCACATGCACTGTGGGCTGGGCTGGGGGGAGGGTGAGAAAGGGTTATTAATCACAGAGCTGGGCTAGCAGGGGTCTGCAGGTCAGGAATGTGGGGCACTGGCAGAGCTGTCACCTGTCTTCAGAGCAATTAAAGGCACACTGATCTTCATCAAGAACCTGCACTGCTGCTGCGTGTGTACTTTCAACGCAGCGAAAGTCTCCCCTTCGCGGTTCCAGAGCTCTGCCACATGCAAGGCCTCTGGGTGCACTAAGAACCAGCGGTTCTGGTCGGCCTGGTACCACAGCACGTCCTCCCCATTGAGCAAATACCTAGTGACAGCTCGGATGGCATCCGTGTCATTGTCCAGCTCACAGGTCTTCAGGGTTTGCATGTAGTAGGACTCTGGGGGCAGAGTGGCTGTATGAGGAACTGAGCAGCTGAGCACAGAGCTCCCACGAGGAGGAGAGGCAGGGCAAAGTTCTCTCATGTATAGAAACCGGGAGTCCTGGATTCCATCCCCTCTCCGCCACTTTAACCACTAAGTATCAGGGAAATCACTCCCCTCTGGTGTCCTCTCCCCCACCTTCCTCCAACCTACATTCAGGTGCCCACCCATTCCCTTTCTGAGCCAAGCTGAGTGTTGGGGCTCAGGGACTCACCCGCCCTTGGGGAGCTAGTGTTCATCTTCCTCACCAGGCCCTGGTACTCGGTCTCCACCCAGGAGTCCCAGGCCTGGTACCAAGCTCTGATCTCACTCCAGAACTGATGGCTCTCCTGGTCGTCCGGGCTGTAACCATTGCGAGGAGCCAGCCTGCCGGTGTTGCTGTCATAGGCCGAGAGCACCAGGTCGTTCATCTTCATCACATTCAGCCGCTTGGGCAGACCCGGGGCCGCCCAGGGGTAGATGAACTGGGAGCAGGAGAGATGGTGAACCCCTGCGGGAAGGAGAGAGACTGCAATGGGAATGGGACCCAGACATCTGGAACAACAACCCAAGGGGTCCCTGCAGCACCCAGTCCTGGGGAAGAGAGACTGGGATGGGAATGGAATCTGGCAGAGCAGGAGTCGCTTACCAGCCAAGGCAACAGAGCAGAGAGACAGGATCCAGAAGGAGAACAAGGCAAGTTCAGCCCAAAGAATCATTGTCCTGCAGGGACGGGACGGCAGCTCTACAGGGTGAGACCGGAAGCCAGGACCCAGAGAGCTGGGGAGGTCCTCTGGTGTTTCCTGTCAGAGCAGCAGAGAGTATAGCCCTCCCTGTGCTGACTGCTGAACTCTCTGCTGCTCTGACAGGAACAGGGCCACCCAGAGGGGGGGGCAAGTAGGGCAATTTGCCCCAGGCCCTGGGCCCCACAGGTGCCCCCACGAGTGTGTCAGAGGCTCCCCCCGCCTTTGTCTTCCCTCATCCCCCGGCGTCTCAGCTGGTAAGGGGACGGGGCTGCGAGCTGCGGCCGAGCAGCGGGAACTCAGGCCCCGCTGGAGACACCACGCCACTGCAGCGCTGTCCGGGGCCGCTCCTGGATGCAGCACGCTGAGGCTCCGGGAGAGGGGGTAAGCGGCATGGTAAGGGGCCGGGGCTGGGCACCCTCCCGACCCCATCCCCCCACAGCCCTGACCCCCCAGCTCCGAGACCAGCCCCTCTGAGCTGGACAACCCCTGACCCCATCCCCCCACATCCCTGACCCCCAGCTCTGAGCCCAGC